AAAAGTGAAGTTTAAACAGTCATTAAAAGATTTTATATAACAGTGAAATTATCTCTTACAGTATAGTCTTATGAGGAATTTTGAACAATGCCCTTTTTATGTTTCTTTTCAATCTTTGGTGGACTCAAGAATTCATTATTGTTATTCTGTTTACCAATATTGTTCCTTATGTCAGTATCAATAACAACATTATTAACATCAGTTCTGTCCTTCTGATTATATTGATCCCCTTTAACATTTCCAAGATTATTTTGTTTAACATTTTCAATATTATTTTGTTTAATATCTCCAAGGTTATTTTGTTTAACATTTCCAAGATTATTTTGTTTAACATTTCCAAGATTATTTTGTTTAACATTTCCAAGATTATTTTGTTCAACTACATTAATGCTAACAAAATTTTGATCTTTAGCATATCGGTTTGTTCTGTTCATGTGACTTTGATTTGACGGTGCGCCATTCACTATTTCCTCATTATCTGGCGCTATTTTTTGATTATTATTTTGGAAAAATAAAGATCTTCCTTGATTATTATTACCCCTAATTTTATTATCAGCAGCAAAATCCGAATTTGGACTTGGTAATGGAGCTAACAAATCCGAATTAAGACTAAAAGGTCTATCACTTGGAGTAGGAGATTTTAAATTATTTCTATGAGATACGTGAGGATTTATATAAGCATGCATATAAGCAGGTTCCACAGTTCGTTCTCGTGTCATCTCAACCACGATTTGTTGATGTAATGCATCGTCTATTAAACTTGTTTGATTTAATGGAGAAGTTGGAAGGTCATCATCATTTGGAGGAGATTTACTAAAAGGAGATTTTGATTTTGAATTTTTTTTTGATAATTTTGAAGAGGATTGTTTTTCAGAAGTAGTTGGAAGGTCTACGAAAGCATGACATTGATAAATTAATTCATCTAAATTAGGAGTATCATGTTTGATCACATTCATGGGCTTCGAAATTTGTCGTTTTGGAGCAGATGAGACATCAATGGGAAAATCCGGATATATGATTGAAATTAAAGAGATGTACACGAACAATCTACCGAAATTTGCCGTTATGGACAAGAAATCAGTTAGAAAGCGGGAGTTACCAAAGAATTGACGAGATTGAGGGACGAACAATCTGTCAATCACTAAGAGAAGGTAACTAATTGACCAAAGAAATAAGGACATTGTTAACCAAATGTTTAGATCTTGGAAATGTTTTAATTTTCCTTGATTTTGAGAGATGTTTCGTGTAGGGGTTTGGATTAATTTCGAAATTCCAGATTGGGTTCTTAATCCAAGTAAAAATATTAAGAATGATAGAAAACTTGAAATTAGTTGAGGAAGATCTACTCTGTAAGACGGATTCACATTACAGACTATGAGGACCAGTACTAGTACAGGAAATCTAAATTAATAAAATTTTAAAGTGCGAATTAGCATGTGAAATTAATAAATTTAATAAGTATATAAATTAAAGATACAATACACAGGAATTAATAAGACGGCCAGCACCAAATAAGTCCAATATTCCCAAGTACTAATGAACTGGCGCCTGGACAATTGTTCCATGAGATAATTCCAATAGGCTTGCAAGGCCAGTAAGCATGTTCTATTAATTTACAAGATAAATTAATATCATTAATGTGCAGTACAAATATAAATAAAACGCGTATGTATGCAGAAAGTTTCTCAGAAGCAACTAGTAGATCCACCCCTGACCTACTAGTTACACGAAACAAATAATCAACAAAATGATTGATGCTTTTTTTGTTGTACTAAACCAATTTGATTATTTGTTTATATTGATTATAAAGAAAATTAAGGAAAAAAATTCCATGAACAAGAACGATTGCTGCGATATGAACATTCAAAAAAAGAAATGAAAAAAAAAAATAGGAAAGAAAATCGAAACTCACGTTATAAAACTTATGGATATAGCGCTTAAATAACACGCGGCCACATTCAATTGTAAATCCAATGACGACCACATGGATTCAGGTTTTATCATTATCCATTGCTGAGAAATTCCAGACTGTGTAGAATTTGTATTGAGAGACACTTCTTGAGATCTGATATAATATATTATAACATCATTTCCCATTTGAGTAAGCAATGACAGGATGAATGAATATGTAAATAGGGAGCAAGGGTCTAAACGGATTAATCGGCGTATTGAAAAGGATTCCCATTGACTTATTTTCTTCGAACGTATGAGCATCCTATTATAATAAATTTAATTAGAGTTAAAATTTGAAAAGGTGAAAAGAATCCAAGAAAGAGATAATAAATTATTATTTTTATTTTTACCAAACTAGAATGAATGGAATGTAACATGCTCTCGCTATAATAAAAAAAGGAATTAAATTAATGAATGCAATTCGTTTTGCTTTATAAAAAAAAGCGAAAGCAATGATACATACCAAGATAACTATTATCACTATATAAAACCATTGTTATTTATTTTTAAAAAAGATATTACGATTATCATCAAGAGGATTTTAACCCTTTTCTTGGAAGATAGTGCAGTACTTTAGTTTATAACGAAAATGACTTAAATTGATTTGAAGGATTCTTTTCAAAAAGATTATAAGTTATCTTCTTATAAAGTTGTCTTTTTTTTCTCGGTCAATAGCGAAATACGAGAGCGACGTCCAAGAAATTATTAATGAGAAGGTAGCATTAATATAATAAAAATCAAGAGTGCGTATGTCGTCCGGCGGTTGTAGAACTAATTTTTCGATGCACGTAGCAAGCGTTGTGAACTATTTATTGAGACTTGTACAGTTTTTATAAAAAAAAATCATGTATACAAATAACATACACGCATTGGCATTAGTACCATCATTAAATATCATTAATATATATCATTTATGTATTTTAATGGTTTGTTTTTTTTTTCGTGGCTAATGGGTTACCTTACAGAGTACTTAATTGTCTAACGTATATACCTAAAGCATTTATGCAAGAAGAATACTAATTACCGAATGGACACAAAGTAGTACAAGCAGAAAACAAAGAGAACAAGGTACACACATATGTATGGACGTACATAAATGCGTGTAGATTAAAACAATCTATAATGCCAAAATAACAAAAAGATGCTGTTCTATAGTATGTCTTTAGAGCTTACGTTATACGTATTGCATCTGTAAAATTCTTCATTTCTTTCGGAGATAACCTATTCCTATTTGAGATTGAGATGATCGAAATTATTGGGATATTTGATGCTCTAGAAATGCCGTTAATGTTTATGTAATTATTGGTAAAAGAAAGTATGAAACTTTTAAGACGTACAGTATATTATTTTCTGTTAATATCGATTACTACTAAGTTCCCTTATTAGTACGTTAGTGGCGTTAATACGTAGAACAATATAAAATCATTCAATTATAAGTACATACGTACAGGTTTTATCTAACTTGTTGCTACTATGTAATGATGTAATAAAAGATTTCCGAGGATGATATTGAAGAATTCGATCGTCTAATGCAGATTTCTTGTTAATGCAATTTATACCATAATTATTTATCGTTATCCCTGAATAGATAAATTATGTATGCAAGTTTCCTGATCTCTATGCGGTCGATTATGTACGTATTTATATTAGGTAGAATTTTAATTCAGCAATTGTTTCATTCAAAAAAGTTCTGCACTTACTGAATCTTAATCTGATAGTTACCTTACAAACCTAGTTCTCTATTATATTAGCGTTAGTGTCTCCAGATAATATGAAAGCCTTATCCATTAAATTTTCAAAATTTTCAATTTTTTTTTTTTTTAAGACTAACAGCTAAGATCATTGTTATACGTAATATGTGTGGCTTAGAAACGGAATGACCAACAATTCAAATGATTCTCGACAAGTCTCGAAATGTCGTTAGTTCTCTTTTTTGGATAATATTCTGGTTTCATCGGAGTTTAGCGCATTTTTCTCCTAGGTTGTGTACTGCTACTGATCGGCCGCGTAAACGGCCGATCGGGTGGCAGTACAGATTACCATTAAGCACAAACTAGACATAACCTAATACATAATGATAAGCGTTTGTAATAAGCGAAATAAATTTAAAATGACAATAAGAAAAATTCTTAATACAAATGAAAATGCTATACTTTTAAGTGTAGTATGAATGCTAGTGAGATAGACGATTAAATAAATTCTAGCAACGAAGATTGTTGAACGTTTGTCAAAAATATTAGATGAGGTGCGTATGTACAAATACTATTTAAATAGTTTTAATACATAAGTAAATTTTGCCTTTAAATTTATTTCTAAATTATAACTTTCTTGTGAGCACAAATCATGTAAAATAATGTAGTGAAAGAATTGATATTAGATTTGCGATAGAATTATTAGGGCATATATTATTATCGTCATTTACCAGGGCTTTGGATTATTATATGACATACGGAAATTTATCTAAATGAACGTGTGGATGAAAAATTTCAATCGTATTAAATTTTGATTCCAGTAAATACACAAAAAAGCACAAATCAGTACAAAAAATGCTGCATGATAGGTACTCTTTTTTTTTGAATGCCATTCAAGCAAAAAAAACAAAAATAATACTGAATAATACTTTTTTTAATTCTTTGTACATGATATTCCAACATGAGCTGACTAATATTCACAACGATTTTGATTTAAAAAACTTCGAGATTTTACGAGATTTTTGATTGTTAAATAAGGGAATTACGTAGAATAACTAAATCTGCACAAAGTTGCCGATCCTTTTTAACGGAAGAATATAATTTCGCGTGATAATTCAATGTGTTTTTGTATCAAATATTAAATTTGTTACTTACGGGTATTGTTTGCTCTCGCCGAAAATTGTTAGTCATCAATGCATACTAAAAAATTAAACTGATATATCAAATCTACTAACCAATATTATATAAAGCGCATGTTATTTATGTTATTTTAT